CAAAACTAACCAACATATTAAAAAAGTTTGACATTATTTGTAGTGTTTTCTACCCATAACCACCATCTCTGCAAAAAAGCAGGGGAGGTATTTTCTCCCAGGTATTTGGGGCCAGGCTTCGCTCATTAAAGTTTTATAGCACACGTGTCTGTGTCTATGGCTTCTCCAGTTCTTCCAGTTTCACTTTTCGTTTCATATGTCTTCCCCTGCTTTTCTGTTTTTATCATATTCATCATTTCTTATAGCACAGTAATATTTCAATACATTTATATACTACATTCTGTAATTACATGGGTCCTTATTGTGCAAGAAACATTAACTACCTGCTACCCAACCCATATACAAAGATTTTATTTATATATATATATAAATATATATATACACAAATACATATATACACACACATACATACACACACACAAAGAAACACAAAGATAAATAAGGATGCAGACTTACAGAGTTTACAATCCTGGTGGGGGGAAGGGAAGTCACATACACAAAATAACTAATACAAGACAGAATGATAGAAGTGCAAAGAGGAAGTCCAGATGTGAAGTATTTGGAAAGTTTTGATGAGGGGGAGATCATTTTCACCTGGGATTTAGAGAAATTTTTTTGGAGAAAGTGGCACCATCATTAAAAGTCTCTAGAGCATAGCGCCTGGGAAGAAGTACATTTCAACCTCCTCACACACATAAGACATGGTTACATATGCTTGGGTTTGTAGTTGCCCATGGAGAAACTCTGTTAATGTTACTATTTGCTTCTCTTCTTCTAGGTTGTCCTTCACTTTTGTGTATTTGCATTCTCAATCTATTGTTCTCTCTTTTGTTTCTTTGGTGCAGATTGTCATTGAAGATTCAAGTTTTTCTATTCTATTCATTATTTTTGCTGTGCAAGCTATAAATTCTGCCCTCAAAGTTCTCATTTCTTTTAAACCACTCAGGAACAGCATGTTGTGGTTCCATGTTCTCCTCACATTCCATAGGGTCCTCTATCTCATGAAGTGCTGGATCATTTTCCTTCATTTTGTAGATTTATTCATAGATGCCTGCACTAATTTTCTATATTTGGAGGCTATATTTCCTTCTACTGTTACTGTTTTTTTCTGTCGATTTATTAGTTTATGTTCAAGGAGTTTGAGATTTCTTCTTCATGAATCTTTGGTATTTTCAGTCTTTCTCTGCTCCCCAGCCCCCTTATTTTTCTTATCATTCACTTTCTGATCCCCTCCCCTCTGATTGTGGTTTCCTTGGGGGCTAAATCTCAAAGCATCTCAGGTTCCTCCCACATTGGGCATTTCATTGTTCACTAGCCTAGGTCTTTACCCCAACTAATTTTCGGGTGGTCAGAACTAGCCCCAGTTGGATGCTGTACTCTTTCCCTCAGCCTTGGTGGAATGCTATACAGCCCCTGGCATGCACAGTGTTCCTTCCTGGTGACCTGTCCCATTCCCTCGGCTCCTCAGTTCTCTGGTCCAGAACCAGCAGCTCAGAGCTTTGCAGCACTGGTACTTCTGCAGCTCCCAGCAGGCTTTTACTCCTGAAGGATGTGGCCAAGTTGGCTGTTGAGGACCAAAGAAATTTCTGAAGCCTGGAACTGGGGTCTCCACAGCACTGGAAAGAGCGGAGGGACTGGAGTGTAGGGGTGGGTTTTGATGCAAACTTGTGTGGTTTCCTTGGTCTGCTAGTACATCCTTGCTGCTGGTAGTGTGGGAGGTGCAGAAGGGGTGCTGAGTGAGCTCAGGGTCAATGAATGTCAGTTCCTAGGTTTGGGGTTGTCCTTATTGTTTAACCTTCTTCTGGATTCTGGGTGTCCTAAACGATGTAAACAGCTGAAGTTGCTTTATCTTTGGCACATAATTTCTGTTTTGGAGAAGTCATAGGGATTAGAGAAAATGTTTAGTTTGCCATCTTGCTACTCACATGACCTGGAAGTTTTGTGAGTTTGGGTTTGGGGTGGGGAGCAGCTATCTCAATGTCCCATTCCTTTTGAATTTTGCAAAAGGTACTAGGAGAGGCATCTCCTAACATAATGAATAGAGGGGTTGGCCGCAGAGTTAGGGAGAATTAGTTCAATTTCTGCCTCTGACACATACTATCATTATTAAGGTGCTTAACCTATGAGTGTCCCAAGCAACTCTCTAAGACTGCAAGTAATAAATATGCAACAGCAGAGGGAGTTTTATACCAAGAGTTCTAAACCACACTGATGAAATCAGAAGTCTGTATGCGAAAACTAAGGCTGGTAACTTCCTATCCTAGAAAGGAAAGGATCTGGGTACATACAGCATGTTGTAGTGGAAAGAATACTGGATTTGGAATTAGAATCAATAGAATGTGAGAGCTGAAAAGGACATCAGTGTCTAGTTCAAGCCATACATCAAAGGAATTCCCCACTAGAGCATACACAACAAATGGTTGTCAAGGTTCTTCTTAAAGACCTCCAAAGAGATCCATTTGTTAGCTCCTGACATCAAGCTGTAATTGACCCCTGTGGAATTTCTATCCAGGACTCTGCTTCTATTCTCTGCCAAACAGAACAAATCTAACTACCCCCATGCGACACCCTTTCAAATACTTGAAGACAGCTACCACGTCCCCCGTATTCTCTTTTCTCCAGGATGAACAAGTTTTTAGTTCCTCCAAAAGATTCTCTTATCATGGACTCAAGGCCCTTCACCAATCTGACTACCCTCCTCTGAATGCTCTTCAGCTCGTCAAGGTCCTCCTTAAATCATGCCACCCAGAACTGAATGCAAGAGTGAAGATGAGATCTGTCTGATAAGGGCAGAACACAGAGGGACTATCACCCTCTCTCAGGATTCTTGGAAGCTATGCTCCTCTTGATGCAGATCACATTAGTTTTTTGGCTGCCCCCAACACACTGCTCTCACATTAAACTTGCCGTCCACTAAAACCCTAAGATCCTTTTCAGAACAACTATTATTATTATCCAGTGTGTTAGCTAAACCTCCCAGCTTAGTGCCCTTTGTAAATATGATGTGCATGCCATCTAAGCCTTTGTCCAAGTTACTGATAAAAATGTTAAACAGCGCCGGGCAGAGATCTCTGACGTTCTTATTCCAGTGGAGACCTTTTGTAATGGTGATGTTGAATTATAATAGCTATTTCTTATTTCACACAACCAGTTCTTAAGCCATCTGAATGTATTCATCAACCCATACTCCATCTTCTCTGCAAGAATAAATGAGATAAGTTATCAAAAGCTTTATTAAAATCTAGGTAAAATATATCCACAGCATTCTCCCCCATCTAATAGGTTAGTAATCCTGTTAAAAAGGGAAATGAAGATAGTCGGGCATGACCTAGCTCTTTGGAACCACTGCTTCCCTTCTCAGATGTTTGTCAATCATTTCTTTAATTTTCTAGAATTTTTCCAGGAATCAAACTCAAGTTCCTTGGCCTATCCTTTGGATGCTGTGTTCTCTTCCGTTTTTAAAAATTTCCATTTTGATAGTATAAAACCCTTCCTCACAGTCTTGTACTGTCTCTTCCATTTCCCATGCTCTATCAAATATAACTGACAGTGGCTCAGCAGTCACATCTGACAGTTCTTTCTGGACCACAGGATGTAGTTCATCTGAGTCATGTGATCAGAATTCACCAAGGGCAGCTAGGTCTTCTATTGCTATTACCTCCTTTATCTTTGGTATCACCCCTCCCAGTTAATACTTCTTGTTGTCATTTACAACTGTAAATACCATTCTCTTTTACAGAGGAAACACAAAGTTAGGAGCTGAGCAGTTCTGCTTAATTAAGACTTGTGCAGGGGCAGCTAGGTGGCACAGTGGATAGAGCACTGGCCCTGGATTCAGGAGGACTTGAGTTCAAATCCGGCCTCAGACATATAACACCTACTAGCTGTGTGACCCTGGGCAAGTCACTTAACCCCATTGCCTAACCAAAAAACAAAACAACAACAACAACAACAACAACAAAAAGACTTGTGTCGTTTTGACAAAAGTCACTTCAGCTCTCAGGGCCTGTTTCCTCATCTACAAAATGAAAAGATTGGTCATTGGATAATCTCTAATCTCCCTTTTAATTCTTAAATCTATGAGATTAGACTAGAAGATGCCTAATGTGCCTTCCAGCACAAGATGAGGATGATAATAATACTTCGGTTTACATACGTTATTTTATTTGATCCTCACAACTCTGTGGGGCAGAGAAGCTATTATTATCTCCATTTTGCAGATGAGGAAGCTGAGGCCCATCCAGATTAAGTGACTGGCCTAGGCTCGAACCGCTGGGCAGTGTCATCTGGAGCAAAATTTGAACCCCAAGTCTTCCTGTCTCTACTGCCTGCACCACGACACGAGCCCACTTTCTCTTTTCCTTTCCTGAACCTCAGTTTTCTCGTCTGTAAAATGGAGAGGCTGGGCTGGGTGACTGCCGAGGTCTCTCCATCCCTCCAGCCGGGGCTCCGCCTTCCCGTGGCCCGCCGCCCGATTTCGCAGGCCTTGGGCGGGGTCCAGACAGTGAGTGTAACGCCACAACAAAACAACCTCCCCATGAGGTCACTGCGGGACAAGCTGGGGGGAGGGGCTTCGGGGGGGCGATCTCCCAGAGGTGGGGCCCTGCTGCCCCGCCCTTCTCTGCGTTCAGCCCCCTATTTCCCCCCTCCCCCCCCGCGTGCCAGTTCTACCTCAGCGCCCGGCTCTGCTCCAGCCCCCCCGCCCAGCTTTCCACTCGCAGCCTCTCTCTCGTGGGGAGGTCCACAGTCATCCGGGGTTTTGTAGCAGCAGTAGTGGCGGCAGCAGCGGCAGCAGCAGCCCTAGTCCTCTACGGGAGTCACTGGAGGCCACGCCCCTTTCTTACATCTCGCCCAATGATGAACGGGCCGGTGTTAGCGGGAGCCCTGGGCGGTGACTCCTGATTCGATTGATCGACAGACTTACCAATCGAATGATGAAGTGAGCCTGGGGCCTTACCAATCCGGAGGCAGGGGCGGGACGGTGCAGGCGCAGAGTGCGGGGTTTTGGTAGAAGATGATTTAAAGAGACAGAAGCCGCCGGGGCCTTAGCGGACGGTCCCCGAGACCTTTCGCACCCTTGAGTCGTCGGGATCCCGGTCCCCAGAGCCGGGAAGATGGTTTGTGGCGGCTTTGCCTGCTCCAAGAATGCCTTGTGTGCGCTCAACGTGGTCTACATGGTGAGGGGAGGGGTCCCTGGGGGACTTCCGGTGGGGAGAAGGTCCCTTGCGGCTTTCCAAGAAGATTCCTAGGGGGATTTCCGGGGGGAGCAGTGCGGGCTGGAGATCCCAGGACTTCCGTGGAAGGGAGAGAGCTTCCGGCCACGATGGGGGAATGGGAACACCCGGGGAGGTGGGAGGCCGGGGTGTGTGGTCAGTCCTCCAGTCCCAGTGTCTTAGTCTCTCCCCAGAGCGGCAGGGGAAAGGAGCCCAAGGTTCCATTAGCAGGTCTCGATGTCCTGACGATGCCGGGGGTGGGGAGTGGGGGAGAGAGGAGGGCTGGTCGGTCCAGAAAAGCCTGCAGACCCATTCGGGACCCCTCCGTGGCCGCCCCCAGCCCTCGTGGTCCACCGCCGCGCCCTGCGCCCTAACCTTCCCCCGCCCCCTCCCCTCTCGCAGCTGGTGGGGCTGCTGCTGATTGGTGTGGCAGCGTGGGGCAAGGGTCTGGGGCTGGTGTCCAGCATCCACATCATCGGGGGAGTCATCGCGGTGGGTGTCTTCCTCCTCCTGATTGCCGTGGTTGGTCTCATCGGTGCTGTCTACCACCACCAGGTCCTGCTTTTCTTTGTATCCTGATCTGGCCAGCATTCTAGGGGGAGAGGAAGAAGGCAGGGGTTGTGGAGGACTGAGAAGCAGAAGGAAAAATGTCCAGGGGATTCCAGGTAGTTTGTTAGAATCATGCCTTACTTAATGACAACTACCTCCTTCCCTAGTGTAGAACAAACAATTGGTTTTCCTTTTAAGTTTCTCACGATGGCATGAGACCAAAAGTATTGATGGATATGATTAAAGTGAATGTCTCTGGTTACTTTTTCCTTAACTCAGTCCCACTCTCAGTATATGATCATACTTGTTTTGGTTTTCATCTTCCAATTTGTAATCTCTTGCTCCTGTCTGGCAATTAACAGAAACACACAGGTAAGGGACACATTTCCCTACTCTTCTTCCCAGCAGCTTCTATCCCTCCTTTTCCTCCTTCTAAGAATCTCTCAGAGTCTACCACTTCCAGTCTCCTGACTCCAAACCCTAGATTTCTGGTTAGTTTGGGATTTGAGTGATTGGAAAACAGAAATCTTAATATATATGATCATTGTACTCTTGTTAACACCGCAGACCCTTGGTTTTGTTCCATGCTCCTCAGATGATGAATTGGGGCACAAAGCTTATCAGTTAGAATTTGGATTGTTTTATTAGTACTCCATTTCTTTCTTTCTACCAGAAAGATGTCATCAGCACCTATTGGTTGGTCATGACTAACAAAACACGGAATGAACTGGAGACAAGTTTGGATTGCTGTGGCCTCTTCAACTCCACAACCTTATACTCCCAGGACTATACCTTCTGCACTGCAGTGAGGATGGGGGCTGGGGATTATAACAGTGGATAACGTCCAGAGGGGGAAGGGGATTGGCATTATGAAATTACAGAAGCTGGATGAAGAATGAATGGCTGGAAAAGAGGGCAAGATGAGGGATGGTTGAAGGTTGAGTGATGATCAGTTGACATTAATACTGGTTAACCACTTCGATCAATATGGCCACTTGGAAGGGGTGGGTCGGACAAGTTTTTTTTATCTGCCAAGAACCGTAATTTTGAATCCTCTCATTTCTAGCTCTGTAAGACCCAGAGCCCAAAGTGCCAGGTTTGTGGAGACAAATTCCTCAAGCATTCAGATGAAGCACTGAAAATCCTAGGGGGTGTTGGACTCTTCTTCAGCTTTACAGAGGTGAGGCCTTCCTTTCCTTCTGACTTCCTATCCTCTACATCAGCCCTTTTTCCCAAGTGTTATCTATAAACTTAGTGTGGGTTTGAATGCCCTGTATATGGGTGCTACTTCTCCCTCTTACACTACCACTTACATTTCTTTCCTTCTAAAATGTCTCCATTTCCCCCCCTCTCCCAGATCCTGGGTGTGTGGCTAGCAATGAGATTCCGGAATCAGAAGGACCCTCGAGCAAACCCCAGTGCCTTCCTATAAAGATCTCTTGATGCTCCTGACCCTCATTTTCCCCACTCCCCCTCATGGTGGGGACCCCAAGGCCTTTTCCATGTAAGGAAGAAGGAAGAGGTCCTTCTTTGCTACACCCCCTAAGCTGATTGGACAGTTAGGTTTCTGTCCTTGACATGAAGTTTTGGGGACAGGCAAAGTTGGGAAGATTCTGAGCACACCCCCATACCCCCAGGAAGGGGCATGCTATTTATCAAGTGCATGTGATTGAATGGGGCAAGAAGCCCCCTGCAAACTCCAGCTCTGCCAGCCTTCTCCTAGACTGGCTTGATCTGTCTTACCCTGCCCAGGATTTCAAGTTTCCAAGGTTAATCACAGCCAAGTCACAGCCAATCACCCAGAATAGAAGCGATTTCCTTGGGGGGTGGGTGGGTAAGGGTCTTCCAAAGGTGACAACTTTCTCATGTCACTGAAAGCAGAGGCTTTGTATTTTTGGATAGTGTAGTGAATGTAAAAAATAAACCTTTTTAACCCTGTATTTGCATAAGCTATTTTTATGTTGTCTTCAAATGAAGACCGTATTAACTTCTCAGGCCCTATGTTATTTATATTACTCCACAAAAGCCTTATTCAGTCACTTTTAAACTATGTTGCTTATTTCCATCCCCCACTAAAACGCAGATTCACAGTTAATCAGAGCCAGAAACATAAAAACCAGACCAGCTTCGTGTTTTTTTTTTTCCTGTATAAATCCCCCTTCTCCCCCTCCCCCCAAATCTCAGAGAGGGATGTCTCACAAAGGGCATTGGTGATAGGGGAATGTCATTAAGGCAGTAAAAGATTCTGTGTAAAATGGTTAAGGATTTGGGAGGGGTATGTGTATGGAGGATCATGCTCTCTCTCCTGCCTTGTAATGCCATACATCATGGTGGCAGTAAGAGTGATCCTAGTGTCCGTGAGGAGGGGAAATGACAGCTCTTTCTTCTTCCTTCTGTATTGGTCCTGGATACAGTCCCTCCAGTAGTCATTCTGGGTTCCCTTCCCCAGCTGTCTGTAGATAAGTGTGTTGCAGAGCTCGGAAGGCAGAGATTCGTTTGTGGGGACAAAAGGTCAGCATTTCCTGAAAAAAGAACGTTAGAATGTTTTGAAGTAATAGAAAAGACCTCTCTGACCATCCTTAGGATGGATTCCTTCCTTTCCAACCCCTTCTCTCCCAATTTTCATGACTTTTAAACCTTCTACCATCTGTGATTCACATCGTATTTGTGCTTTGCCCCTTCTGAATTCCCTGAAAGGGAGGGTTGTCTCTCTACTCTCCCCATTGCCCCTTACCAGTAGCAGTTGTGCTCCAGGTCCCTCCAGCTCAGGCACAACAGACTGTAAAGGCTGGGGACTACAAGGAGTAAAGGCTCCACGGGGCAGAGAAACATCAGGAGGCCAATCATCTTCTGCTGGGAGCCCAATCAGACTGTAGGATAAGGGAGACCTGTGATTAAGAGCTTGCCCTGGATTCTCCCCAATTTCACAAGACTCTTAAAAGCCTTCCACAGAAGGATATGGGATGATAAACCCTGCTTCAGCTTTCTATTCACTTACTCAAAGATTTTGCTTAACTGGTCAGCTTCAGAGTTTCCACAGAAGAGAGGCCTGAAGGCAGAAAAAGGATAAAAGAATAGTATTCAAGGTCTAGAGTGGTTGAGGGGAGGGGGAGAGAATCACTGAGGTCCCAAGAATAGTAACAATTGTCAGGGGTCATTAGAGCACTTTCACAGATGGAAAGCACTTTTGTGTCGGGAAGGGTATAGGAGGGATAAGAACTGAGGCTTTCTGGTGACTAAAGAAGGGGAGCGAGTGAAGTCTCATGAGCTCCTCACTTCCTACGGAACATCTCTGCGAAGATGCAGCCAACACTCCACATGTCCACAGGTGTTGCATATGCTGATTGCAGCAGAACTTCAGGAGCCCGGTACCAGAGAGTGACTACCTGAAAGAGACAGAAAAAGGAACCTCTAAGGGGAGGATGGGAAAGGGGTAGGGATGAAGCTTTGACATATAGGAAGTCCCACAAAATTTCCCTTCTGTACCAAGCTGTCCTCTCCTCCAACTTCATCATTCGCACCTCCTCTCTTGGCCACCTCCAGAATAAACTACTACTCCTTAAGAGTTCCCACTGACCACAGGTGTGAGTGCCATCTGGCAGCTGTAGATCCGGGCTAAGCCAAAGTCAGCCAGCTTGACTGTTCCACTACTAGTCACAAGGATGTTTTCTGGCTTCAGGTCACGGTGGACAATGCAGTTGGCATGAAGAAAGTCTAGGCCTCTTAAGAACTGTCTCATTAGGTCCTGGAAGAAAGTGTGACAAGGTCATTGCCAAGAAGTCTGGGGACTATGTATACCTCCTCTCCAAAATTCATTCCCATTTACCTCCCCACCCCCAGCATTCCTAGGCTCACACCTTAATGGTCTCCAAGGGCAGCCCTGGTGGAGGGGCCTTGTCCAGATACGTCCTCAGGTCCTGGTCCACGTGTTCAAACACCAGGGTCACCTTGGTCTCTCGGTCAGTTCGGGCAGTGGCACAGACATCCATCAGCCTGATCAGAGCAGATGATTACCGGGGAGGCTCGCTCCCTCACAGTCCTCTTTGCTGCGCTCCTGACCAATTCCGGTTTCTCTGTCTTATTTGTACAGCATGCCCTCCCCCCATGCTCCTCCTCCCACACCCTTAACCCTCTAGTCTCATCTCACCGGACCACGTTGGGATGCTCAAAGGCCTCCAGCCGCCGAAGAAGGGCCACCTCCCGGACAGTGCTGACAGGCAGGCCCCCGCCACTTCCTCCTCCTGTCGGGACTTTCACGCTCTTGAGTGCCACGAAGTGGCCGCTGTGGGGGTCACGGGCCTTGTACACCGTCCCATAGGCACCAACACCAATCTCGGCCACTGGTTCATACCGAGGAATGTCCATCCTGTGCCTAGGAGGAGGCGGCTACAATTACACACCGGCTCCGACCCGGGCCAGGCTGGGGTGCCCTACGCTATGGCCCCTGCCGACCATTCCGGGGAAACGGGATCCTCTTCACCGCCCCTTCACCAACTCTGGCAACGGCACAGTACAAGCCACGGTTAAGCCGGGCTAAGACCAGTCCGAGCCCCTCCGCCCCCATTTCCCCCGTCTACACCACACCAGTAACGAGCCCACGCGCCCCCTCCCCGCCCTTACACGCCCGCTGGGCGGCCCCGCAGCCCGGCTCGCTCGGCCTCCCGGTCCGGCACGCGGGGAAAGGAGGGAGGGCAGGGGGCGGGGACTCGGGCCAATTCCGCGGCAAAATCCGCTCCCGGAGAAAGGCCCGGCCCCTCGCCGAGCCCGCGGCGGCCCAGGACGCACTCACCTCCTCCGGCGCTGGGGCCCGCGCCGCGTGGGGCGGGGACGGACCGTTATCTAGGCACCCGAGCCGCCCTCGGCGGAGCCATGCAGGGTAACTCGGTCCCGAGGGGCCGGACGCGGCAGGCCTCACCATAGACTCCCGGGGGCTAGAGTGGATCCCTCGCCCACACCCTCACCACGTGACCGGCGCTGCCAAGGCGGCGCGCGGAAACGGGGAGGAGGAGGAGGAGGGAGAGACTGGCGCACGCGGGACGTGAGGGAGCACGTGACTGGCCATTCATGCGCCTTAGGGCAGCTCAAGAACTGGGTGATGGGGAGGCGGGGAGCAAGCCGGACAAGAGAAGGGAATTTGGCCACGTGATCTGTTGCTACCACATGTGACCCACTGACATTGCAGAGGTGTGGTTATGGAGGGGTCATGTGACCTAGCCTCCACGGTCTCTAAGGAGGTGGGGGGGCCGGTGAGGGGGAGGAGCCCTAGGGTGGTGCCATGGCAACCGAGGCCACCCAGATCCCTGTGGTGGGTAGAAGACTAAAGGAAATTGATTGTCTCTGTGCCTGGTTGTCTTTTCGTTTCTTTGTCTCCTGCATTCTCAGGACATTTCTTCATATTGGGAATTTGCTTTCCATCCTCCTTCCCCACCTTCCCTCTCTACCGCCCCCATCCCCCCCCAAAAAAGGTATAGACAAGAAAAGCATTGAGTGCCTCATGGAAGAGGGAATCGACTTCAGCTTGGCCCTAGAAGGCAGAAGGAGGAAGTTACAGAGGGTCTGACCGAGAACGTTAACAGCAGCTGTACAACTTTGAGAATAGCTACCTGGAAAAGGAATGAGCTCTCCATCACTTGAAGTTTTCAAGCAGAGAATGGATGACCAGCCATGAGAGATGTTGTACAGAGGATGGGGAGAACAGAATAAATTACCTCTTAAGGTTCCTTCTCAATCTCAGATTCGATTTTCATTATAAAAGTATCCATAAGCATAGAATACAGCTCTGTACATACATAGGACCCAGCAAGTATAAGGCTGAATACCAAAAATATGGGTAAGGCAGGGATAAATGGGACCATAGCTATAGAGCTGGAGACCTCAAAGCTTATCTAATCCAACCCCTTCATTTTACAAGTGAGAAAATTGAGACTCAGGACAGTTATATGACTTGCCTAAAGTCACACAGTGACAGAAGGGAGATTTGAACCGAAGTCCTCCCCCCACCCACCCTGTTGCAACCCTCTCATACCCTAAGCCATCATTCTGCAACAAAGTGAGCTTCTGACAATCCCTGCCCCAAATGTTCCTCTCCCCTACCCTCATTTAATCCTAAAGGGTTGGGGAGGGGGATTGGGAAAGACACATCTACTCACAAATGGGTTTGCCGCTCAATTTTTTCTGTCTGTATTAGCTCTAATTCCATTTTAGAGATTCTTTGATGTGGGGTGGGTAATATTCAGTGTCCCAATTAGGGCCTTCAGTGCCTCTCTTCCCCATCATCCTCTTAAGCCCTTTGCAACAGTTTCAAACTTGAAAGAGGGACTTAAGCATTAAAGAAAATCAGGTTCAGGAGTGAAATAGGAGTGTAAACACACTTTCCCCCTGACCCTCAGAGCTACTTCCTGTTCCAGATTTCTATTAAGGAGGGTAGCAGAGGTACTAGTTTGGGGTGGGAAATCCTGAGGTAATAGGGGTGAAGATTGAAGGGAATATTTACACATTAGTCACTTTGCAAGAGCTGACTGGCTGGTGAGCCTTCAGGAAGGTAAGATAAAGGACTTAATTTATCTTGTCAAGACTGACTTATATTGTCTCCCTCATTAGAATGTATGCTTCTTGGGAGTGGTGTAGTGTTGTACACTGTAGTGTTAACACTAGACAAAATTAACACAGTGCTTACTAAACTTTCCTCTTATTACATCCTCCATTATACAGGTCCACCCCAGTTCACTCTCGACCCCAAATTCTTTATTTCAACTACTTTCTCTTTGAGTCTGTTTCCATTCATTCATTCAAAATATATTATTGATAGGTTTTATTTTTCTTCTCAATGGATGGAGAAGGAAGAGTAGGAAGGGAAAGAATTTGGAACTGAACACAAAATAAAACTGAATTAAAAAAAAACCCGAAATATATTATTGAGTTCACTCTTTCCCCTCCCCTCCATCAGGGAAGCTCTGATTTTTGCTGCGTGCCCCTCCCTATCTCTGTCCCTTCAGTCCTTCTGTTAATTATTCTTTTACTAATTACTTTTTTTCCCAGTGTGTTTGACCGAAAGGACTCCCCAGACTCCATTTTCCCAGACTGGGGAAGGGAAGGGAAAGAGAAGGAACTTGCAAAGGCTTAACAGAAGAACCTGAGATAGGGGGAGGGGGCGCCCTGGGCTGGTTAGAGGGGAATTAATGGCCTTTAAAGGAGGCGAAGGGGCAGTTAGCCGGAGGCAGGGTATGTGGAGATTGCTTAACCTAGTACAGCTTCTGATTACGTGAGATGGAAAAAAAGAATGCCAGCTCTGTCCCTCACTCCACCTCCCCAGCCCGCTTACCTGTCTCCATCCTTTCCTTACACACACGCACACGCACGCACACACATTCTTGCACCCTGCCCCCGCACATGCAGTCCTCTCCCCTGAACCCTTTCACCCCTTGCACACATCCCCTACCCCCGCCGCAGCCTCGCACCCTCACCCTCAACCTTCTTCACTGCTTTCCCCAGCCCGCTCTCTGGGCCACTCCCCCGCCCGGCCCCTCGGTCCGCGGGGTCCGCTCGCCCCCGCCCCCGGGGCCACCTGCTCGCGCGGGGCGGGGCGGGGATGCGCAGCCGCGGCCCCCTCCCTCCCTTCCTCCCCTTCCCCGCCCCGCCCCTCCCTCTTTCCCTCGCCGGCTCCCGGGCTCTCTCCCCGCCCGCCGCCAGCCCGCCGCTCCGGGGGGTGGGGGTGGGGGGGGTCTCTGTCGCTGCCGCTGCCGCCGCCGCCGCCGGAAGGAGCCGCCATTTGCCACGGCCGAGCGGACGGGTCGAGTCGGAGCCGGAGCCGGAGCCAGAGCCCGAGCGGGGCCGGGGCCCGGCGGCCCGCGATGGGGGGCGGCCCCGCCGTAGGAGGACCCGGGCCCGTGACCCCGGGGACCCGGGCCGCTTCAGCCCCGGCCCCGCGGGGCGCCGCGCCCTAGAGGACCCCGGCCATGGCCCCCGGGCCGCCAGCCCTGGGGCAGGGCAGGAGGCAGCGCTGAGCCGAGCTCGCAGGCCCCGACGTCCCCTCCTCGGCCTCGGCCCCTCCCCCGGCCAGACCCCCCGACACCGCCCTCCCCGCGCCCCCCCCGAGCGGCGGTCCCCCTCCCCCCCGCGGCTCCCCGCGCCGGACGATGCTTAAGTCCCGGCTCCGCATGTTCCTGAACGAGCTGAAGCTGCTGGTGCTGACGGGCGGGGGGCGGCCCCGGCCCGAGCCTCAGCCCCGGGGGGGCGGGGGAGCCGGCTGCGGCTGGGGGCCCTTTGCCGGCTGCTCGGCCCGGGACAGCGACGGCGACGACGAGGAGTACTACGGGTCGGAGCCGCGGGCCCGGGGACCGGGGGACAAGGAAGCTCGGGCTGGACCCCCGCCGCCGCCCCCTCCTCCTCCACCTCCTGCCCCTGGCGGCCTGGACTCCCTGTCTCTGAGCAGCAGCCTGGACAGCGGGCTCCGAACCCCCCAGTGCCGGATCTGCTTCCAGGGGCCAGAGCAGGTCAGGCCCGGGCCTGGGGATATTGGGAGCAGGGCACCAAAGAGATGAAAAGGGGAGGGGAGGGGGACAGGGAACACTGGGTGGACCTAGCTGGGGAAACCGAGGAAGATGGGGAGGGGTAAAGGGGGTAGTGTCAGGGAGCCTGGAGAATGTGATGGTCTGGGCAGAGAGGGGAGACCAAGGAAGGGGGCCTGGGAGAATGGTTGGGGGATGCCAGGACCAGAAACTGGTAGGGGGTACCTAGGAGAAGGCCAGATAGGAATGATGCCTAGGGGCGGGTTGAAGTTAGGGGTCCACTAGCCCAGAAAAGAATGAGAGGTTGTGTGCTTGGGAAACTGGCTTGGGGAGAGAGGGAGATATCAGGGCAAAACAGCCGACTGTACCCCGTCCCCACCTCCCCACACTTTACTATCTCAGTAGGCTGTGGGAGGGGCCATCCTTCATAGAGGCAGAGGAAAGGGTTGGTCTTTGAAAAGCAAGCCTTGGTTGTAGGGGTTGGAGCTTCTATGCTCCCTTTATTCCTCAGCATCTTTAACCTTTGGGGAGATTCTTTCTCTGCTTTCAATTCAGCAACTTCCATTCTTCACACAAAGATTATTCTTTGTTTAAATTGTTCTGGAGGGAGCTCCCCATAAAGGGGAGGGTGTTGGGGAAGGATTGTTATCCCAAAGTGCTCAGAGGGAATTTCCCTTCCTTGATTGAGGGCAGACCTAGTCTGGCATGAAGGGTTTCTTTTGGGATCCCATGGAGATACAGTAATAGAATTCTCTGAATTACTGCAAGATCTGTAAAGTGTTTTAAGATTATATTGGTAGGAGGTAGAGGGGTGGTGACTGATGCTTAGTTAAGGTCACTGTAGCTCCCCTCTACCCCTGTTCATCTCCTTGGTTTACACAAACTACATTCTGTAGGACTCCAAGAAAAGAGATGTTCTAGGTCTCCTTGCTCTCCCACTGGTTTCTCTGATCTTGGAACAGTCTCTTTTTCAATCTAAGGACTTTCCTCCCTACTCTAGTATGAGCTCTTCCTTCAGTCCCGGATGAATGGTTTCCATTGAGGGTCTTGAATTTGGATCTCTGATATGGATCTCTAATGTTGAGAGTTTCTCTACCATGGGGAGGGGGGTGAAAACGATTCTTCTCTCTTCAGATGAGGTGATGGGTGATTGGGTCCTACCTCCTCTCCCTACCTTCAGGGGGAGCTCTTGAGCCCATGTCGGTGTGATGGTTCGGTTAGATGCACCCACCAGCCTTGCCTCATCCGATGGATCAGTGAGCGGGGATCTTGGAGCTGTGAACTCTGCTATTTCAAGTACCAGGTCTTGGCAATAAGTACCAAGAACCCACTGCAGGTGAGAAGTACAGGGGGAGGGGCCTTAGGCTAATGGTAGAGGTAGGGGCTCTGGGACCTCCCCCTCCCCAAGCCAGTCCTGGTTACATTTTCCCCGTGTCACTCCACAACAGGTACTCTGTCATCCTGATTCTTTCTCGGTCACTGAGGCCCTCCCTATCATGGTTGCCTCCTGTTATCATGACCCTGCTTCCTGTAACCAGCAAGACCTGGTGTCCCCAGGGTTCTCTCTGAGAACACCTTCCTTTTCTAGTGGCAGGCCATCTCGCTGACAGTCATTGAGAAAGTCCAGATCGCAGCCATTGTCCTGGGCTCCCTCTTCCTTGTTGCCAGCATCTCCTGGCTCATCTGGTCTTCACTCAGTCCATCAGCCAAGTGGCAGCGGCAGGACCTGCTCTTCCAGATCTGCTATGGCATGTACGGCTTTATGGATGTCGTCTGCATTGGTGAGAGACCATCCAGTCCCACCTACCTGAAGTCCCCAAGGTTCCTTTAAAATCATACGTAGGAGAGTGGGCGATTTTAGGAACTATATTTTATCTAAACTATGTGTCTGTTTACGCCTAAACTATGTATACTCTGCATACATTGCTTAATAGCTGTAGGTGCTTAATAACTGTAGGTGCTTAATAATAAGTAATAATAAATTGACATGGAATTAATTAATTATCCCCTGTCCCTCAGCTTAAGGACAATTTGAAAGAAAAAACATAGGGTCCTAGAGCAGGAGCTGGAAGGGACCTTCTGGTTATCTAATACAACCCCCCTCATTTTACTGATGAGGAAACTCAGATTCAGAGACACTAGAAGACTTGCCTAAAGTCTCATCCTAACTCTCCTGCCTCAGTTTCCTCATCTGTAAAATTATAATTATAATTAAATTATAGAACATAATATATACGAATTAAAATTATAATAATAGCACCTACCACCCAGGGGTATTATGAGAATACAGTAAGATAGTATTTCTAATGTGCTTTGCAATTATCAAAGTGCTATATACATATTATTATTAATTGTTGTTGTTAAACTTATTAGTTTCAGAGTGAAAATTTGAACCCAGGTCATTTGATTTTAATTATAGCACTCCTTTAACTGGATTATGATTAATTAGAGACCCCCTTGATTTCCCCAAGACTTGTTTTTTTTTTTTTTAATTGCTCTACCCTAGTGCTTCTATTAATTCTTACTATTTCAGTCTGGGGAAAAATCAGGTTTGGATTTCCCCTTGGCCCTGAGTTCAATGAAAAGTTGACCCAACCTCTGACCCCCTTCCTGACCAGGTCTCATTGTCCATGAGGGCTCTTCTGTCTACCGCATCTTCAAACGCTGGCAGGCAGTGAACCAACAGTGGAAGGTCCTGAACTATGACAAGACCAAGGACCTAGGAGGGGATGCAGGAGTGGGGATGGCAGGGAAGCCAGGTCCCAGGACCTCACGGACAGGTTCCCCACCTGGGGCCACTGGCCGCCCTCCAGCTGCCCAGCGTGTCCGGACGCTCTTGCCCCAGCACTGTGGCTACACAATTCTGCACCTGCTTGGACAGCTCCGGCCACCAGATGCCCGTTCCAGCTCCCGATCTGGCCGAGAGGTTGTCATGAGGGTCACTACTGTCTGAGCTACACTCTCAGGAAAGGAGGACCCTAAAGTCAGTGCACTGGCTGGAGATGTGGTCCAGCCCTTACTGAGCATCTGCCCTGAACCAGTGGAGATTCCACCTAGACAAGGTGTTGCTCCCGTACCTGACTGCCCCCACATATCAAGGAATCTCTGATGTTGACATGACCACTGGAGATAATATGACTCCCACTGATCACTCATCTTTCCCTGGGGCAAAGATTCCACCTGGAAGAAATTTCAATCTTCATTGACGGCCGCTTATCCTCCTGGGAAGTGGGGAGAACATCTTTTCCCCTGGAGAGAGTGGAGAGAATCATCTTTACCTCAGCTCACACGGCCTCTGGCTCCCCGCTCCACAGGGATGATTTGGTGAAGGGGGGCCAGTGCCAGGAGGAAGGGGCTACCAACTCACCCACCCCTCCTACTCTATGGCCACAGGGCATCTGGCAATAAGACTAATGTATACCCACCTCCTGCTCCCTGCATGAGGGCAGGGGGGTCTACCCCTGCCTACCCCCTCTTGTTTGAGGGGAAGGCATAAAGAGTCATTTATATGCAAATGGAGGCTCATTTCTTGTCAGAGGATTGTGGGAAGATTTGAGGTTTGGGGAGAGATTTTGTCTACACAGGTTGCAAATCCTGAAGCACTTAGTAAGTTAACTCTTTTTCTCCCTATCAATCCATAATGATTTATTCCAAGTGGTTTAGCAAACACTTGCTGGTGAATAATTCACTTTAATTGTATAGTTGGCAAGGCTCAGAATGGTCTGGTGGGGAAAAAAAATCATACACCCGGAAATTAGAAGGCCTATGTTCTACTCCTCTGTGCCTCAGTTTCCCTATCTATCTCACAGGATTGGTGTGAGGAAAATGAGATGTAGGTAAATTCCCATTGCAAAGAAAATTTCTCAATGACCAAATGTTTTCCAAGACCTGGCCTTTTATTTCTGGTTGCATTCTATACACCAAATCACTGAACATCAAAATAATGTGGCCTTTGGATAGTATCTTGGAGTTTTTTGTAATGGGACATGTGATAGACGTGGAAATGCATTAGAAAAGTATGATATAAATGTAGGAAATTGTCATTTTCTAAGTGTGAGAACCCATAAGAATAAGGTGCGGATGAAGGTTAGGGATAAATTTGATTAGATATCCTATCATTTCTTCCATCTGGGAAGTGGATGAAGGCAGAAATTCTATTGTCAACATTTTGGGTCAGAAAACTCCCTTTCAGGCCAGTGTTTTCAATGATTAATGGTATAAGGTGAATCCTTATTCACTTGGACCAATGCTGGCCTCCATGAACATAGCCTCTGGGCCCTCAGCTTCCTCTGATTTATGTTGCCTTTCCAATAATTACGTGTCTTAGTTCAGACCTGGGTTTACTCAGGCAGTTTGTATTAACCAGCAGGATTAGAGTTTTATCTCATTCTTTTCCTATAAGTTTTATCAAATGTGTGTCAAACTGTACCCCCCCAAGGGGTCTAGATGTGAATTATTGACCATTTGTGAGAGGATATTGTCTACTGACAGTGTTTGAGTAGTATCAAGTAGCAGTTATGGACTGAACCTGAATATGGGTCAATACCAGGCCTGGTCACTCTTTACTCAGGAGGCCCTGAGACTATGTGCCCTCTGGTTTATGCTGTCATGCTAAGTGAATTATTCATCAGCAATGAGAATATTCAGGTAACGTAATGGACTCTAGAGTAGAGTTTAAAGGGTTGAAATAATCCCTTTCCTGTAGGGAAAGTCTGATCATCCTCCAAGGGGTTGTTTTGGGGAAATGCTTCTGCACTGACTACAATGACTTCCCTTCAGCTCTTCCTGGTCAGCTGAGACCTCAGCTTGAAAGATCCCCTTCCTCTCCCAGCTCCAACCGTGGTGCTGTCCATGGTGCTGTCCGATATACTAGCTAGAGAGTGGGAGTGGGATAGTGATGTAGGGAGCTGAGTGGAAGGAAAATGTTTTCTTTTTATTCTAAGTCATGTAGAGGCATGGACATACTGCCCTTCTGCCCACACTACTTATTTTTCCAGTCACTATTGAATTCTATCCTCCCTTATACCCTAACCTCCTTTGCCCTATCCCTGAAGTCAGGCCATAGTGGGTAGGGGGCTAAGGTAAAACTCACTTCCTAATGGGCAATTCCGCCTCCTGAAGAGAGGGTACTTGCACTCCTTCATCCACAAGGCAGCTTTTTTTCCAGAAAGTGACCACTAGCACATACACATTCGCTGACATGCTTAGACAAAGACATACAGGTTTGGGGATGTATTTGCCAAATCCTTTCCACCTCCAGGCCCTCTCCCATTGAGTAATGGCTTCACACTGAGGCTCAAACAGATACAAGTACTTACATACATATTACCCTTCAGGGCCTGAGTCTGGGCCAAGTGAGTCAGTGCATTTCCCCTTCCTCCTGTTTCTGAGAAAAGGCCTCAGTAGAGTGGCTGAGAGTGAGACTGGGGCATGGGGGGGTGGGAGAACAGAACAGTTCCCTTTTCCAACTTAGGGGGTCTTTGTGTACACTAGGATATTTATGAAATTATTGCTCCTCTAGGAAGGGTCATTGAGTACTATTTTGGGTAATCCTGCAACAGGTTGATGGGCAGGTGCGTTAATGATAAATACTGATCTCTTCAGACCTAGACTTGGGGATGAGAAACTGGGTTTAGGTTGCCTTGAACCTGGGGAGAAAAGAAAAAAAAGCAAAACCCTGAACCTAGAGTCACAAGTGGTCTGCAGTCTGGTTAAGGTCCTAACATACACAGGCTTTTGAATCTAGAATAGTGATGGGGAGGGTGGAGAACAATGGTATTTAATATACACACATCTTTGTTCTTGCACAATGATACAAAGAGCTTGTAAGTCCTGGATTTTTATGAACTTTCTATGCATATTCTCTCTCAGAAGCCTGGGATAAGAGAGATCCCCCTGTCTCCCACTGAGCTATGGTTAGTAGGAGAAAGGGAGAAGAGGAAGTATGAAATGAAACTTGATCCACTCTGATTTGTGGTGGTGGTGGTGGTAAGAAAGGGGGCAAGTCCTGACTGGGTTGGTTACCTGAGCTACTTCGGTGGGTAAGGTGGAACCAGGTAGAGATTACTGACAGATTTATTGCAGAAGAAAGATGAGTTAATCCATATTTAAATCACAAGGGGTAGAATTGTGCCCAGAATCTGAAGGGCTGGGGGGCATGCTGAGTCAAAAAATTAAGAGATTCCCTTTGCCTAATCAGCCTTTACCCCTCCTGTATCAGTGCCTGAGGGTTTCTGCTTGGCCCCATATTCAGTATACATCATCTCTGTGCAGAAAATATGGCTGTACCTGTCTTTTTTTTTTTTCTGTTATTCCTTCCATCATTCTCAACTTCCATCTATGCTTTGATCTCTGTCAGCCCTGTGAAGGAGATTATCTCAAAATAATTATCTCAGAGAATTGGAGAGTTATTCTGTAAAGTCCCTTTGGCTTTGACCATTCTATTTCCAAAGGTACCCCCTTTGGAAACCACCTAACACCCTCTAGTCATCTCTGTGGTGTCCCAACACTTTTATTCAAACCTGCAACTCTGTTCCTCTTTGATTTGTCTAATCCATTGGTTAGAAGCCTGATTCTCCAGGCCCTCCTGCTCTTTTATTTATTTATTTATTTTTATAGGAAGCCAGGCTTGGCTGTTCCCCCTAGCAGACAGTAACATGCCTGGGTTAGTGATGCAACACTCTTCCAAGAGCTCAGACCACCCAGTGTTCATCAGATCACTTCCAGTGCCCGGGAAACCAATGCAGGTGGGAAGATCCAGATTTACCACCCCAAAGCTGGAAGAGTGGAGAGCAAGACAGAGAAACTCAGGGTAGCAGGAGGATATTATTTTTTTAATTACAAAAGTATGAAGAATCATAATACAAAAAAGGCTGTGTAAGGGAGTATGGGCAGGATTTGGGTTGGCATTGATGTAAGATAGAAATCTTGAGTTGGGGGTTGGCCTAAGGCTCCAGGCTTAACTGGCCAAGGACAAGTGGCTATATGACCAATGCTCAGAGGGCTTCAGAGAAGATGGATGGAAAGGGATGGAGTCATATAGCTTAGACCCTACTTCCATGTGGCTTAAGGCTGAAATTAACAAGTTCTCTTGTGGCCTACAATATTCCACCCTTCTCACTGGTCTGGACCAAATGCATAGTGCATGTTCAACAGATGAACTTTCCTGTCCTTTGTCCAGGTGTGTCTCAAGGTCTTTGATTTGGTCATTCTTCAGTTCAGCACAAAAGGACCTTGTCCTCCCCATGGAGAAGATGGAAGAAAGGTTTTCCAGGCATTTTGAAGACTTGTGTCTATTTACTCCCCTTCCATCAAGGAATGGGGGAGAAGGAAAACTGAGATAAATCACAGTATTGTCGGTCAACAAACTTCAGGTTGATGCTTCTCTCAGGCACCAGGACTGTCCTGGTCATTGGCCTTATGATCCCAGCACCTGGTTCTGGCCTAACTTCAAAGTGGATCAGGATCTAGAACGGGAGGGAGGAAGCAATTACTGTATGTGATGGTCAGTACTTGTGGGCACAGCCACCATTAGGAGAGAGAACATCAAGGGTGCCATGGGCATTGAGGTGACAAATTTTGGGAGTGATCAGTATCAAAGAATAGATGATATTGAGGGGATTAGTAACAGAGGGGTCACTTCTAGGAAATAGTCAGAACCAGACAGGATTATTTTGCTAATTATTTTGTTAATGGTGGAGAAAGGAGTACTGGAGCTCTCTCGAGGAATCTTTTATGGAGTGATCTTCACATTGTAAGGACTGGAGTCTAAAAGGACTGAAGTGAGTTATCCGACCCTCTAAGGCTTGGGCTGAGGTGGGAGTGAGGGGCACAGAAAGCTGGTAGGTTCAGTAGGGAGGGATCTTTCTCAAGAACACTCACCTGGGCCAGAGCCAGGTTTAGCTCAAGCTCTGCTAGGCGCTTTCCTATACAGCTGCGTTTGCCAAAGCCAAAGGGGAGGGAGGCAAAAGGATGAGGAGCTGGCTGTCCCCCCAGCCATCTTTTTGGGTGGAAGGCATTTGGTTCTGGGAACTGGCCAGGGTCTCGAGATGTGGCATAGTGACACAGAGTAACCAGAGTCTGGTGAGAAAAGAAAAACCAGTCAATGAAGAGACTAGCTAGCAGGGACAGAAGTAAGAGGGTTGGGCCAGATGTGTTAGTCATTGGGAGTGAAAGGTTCAGGAGAGTTCTGGCTACAGAAAGCATTCTCTAGGGATTCCCTTAGAAATATTTTGACCATCCTCTGACCTCCAAGTCAACTCAACAAATGTTTAATCAGTACCTACTTGATGGAAGGCACTGTTATTTTGGGGAGGACTCTACAGAGTTTAGAATGCAGAGCAGGGACCTCAATAAAGATCTGACAGAGATGTTGGGCTCAGCTAGGGCTGGTGGGAAGCGGGGAAGTGGGATGGGGAATAGACTCAAGAGGATCTCACTGGTCCTACTTACATTTTTGGGGATGATATAACCACCTACATGGACGTCTTTGTTTGGGACACGGGAATTCCCAGGTACCACCGGGTATAACCTTAGATGCAGAGTTGAGAAGAGGACAACAAAGTGAGGTTGAGGGCTGGCAGCCTCTCTCCTATCTTCCCCCCTTCCCTTCTTGCCCTATATTAGGTTGGAGGACACTTCTTTGATCTTCCAAGTAAACTGCCTCTGGTTATATTCCTTCTCCCACCACTCTGTCACTTCTATTAATAGGATGATTGATTTCTTCCTACTGCCCTTCCATTTCCCCATATTCTTTTTCTTTTATGAGTTCCCACTCTGTTCTACTGCCTCCTTAATCATCTCTTACCACTTCACCTCAATGCCTCTTCCAGGGCTTTACCCCCTCTCACCTCAGCACCTCCTTCACTACAGCTCTCAGCAGGGGCAGCTGGGCCAAGGTAGTGGCTGGGGGGTGGGTGGAAGACCCAGGAGCCATGGCATCTATGATCTCAGCATGGAGTGCAGCCTGAACTTCTGGGTGATGTGCAAGTTCATACAAAGCCCAGGAAAGTGTGTTGGAGACCTGGGAGTGACATGAACAAGACGGGTTAGAATCTACAGGCCACAATTCACAGACATTAGCTATTCAAGGTAAGGATTTGGGTCAGGCAATAATTTGGGAACCCTAAACTAGCAGCAGGATCTGGAGGTATCCAGAATTCAGTGACTAAAGCTGAACCATCTATAAGGGAGGGGAGAGTTTGGAGGTATTCTTGCTCTGTAAAAGGTATATAAGGGCTCCAGAAATAAAACTGACATAATAACACTTTAAATTTTAAACAGTACTGTTACATAAATCATTTGAGCCTCACATAACTGTGAGGTAGGTACTACAGGTATTCCTAGCAGAAAGAGGTCACAGAACATGGGTTCAAAGCCCAGTGCTGCCACTTACTAAGTGGGCAAGTCACTACTCAGGCCTCACTTTCCTTATCTGTAAAATTAGGGGTTTGGACCAGATGACTTCTGAGGTTCCTTCTAGCTCTAAATATACGATCCTGTACAGATGAGGAAACTGAGAAAAGTGCCCTTGCCGCTAGTAGGTGTCAAAGTGTGAGTAGCCTTACCGTGTCTACTCCAGCCAGCAGTAACTCAGCAATAATGCCAAGGATAGATGCAGATGGCAGCTCTTTCTGGAACAGGAAGTGGGTCAAGTGAAGTCCAGATACACTGGTATTTTTAAGCTCCCCTATGGGCCTTGTAGCTGCCTCAGCCTCCCTCTGCTCCAGGTGCTTCTGGGCTGGATGGAAAAGAAGGCGATGACCCCCTAGAGCCTCCTTGTGGTCCTTTCTTCAGTCCACCATCCCTGGTTATGAATACCCTGTCCTGGCACCTCACCGAAGGCAAACATCTGGTCCCAGTCCCGACACAGGCGGTCCCAGGATCCAGGCAAGAGCCGGTTCAGCCAGTTTGGCATTGCCATGGTCAGCAGTGTGGACACAAACACCGAGCCCACTGCACGAATGAAACTCTCTGTTTCTGGGGGCACTTCAGGCTCCAGACATCCTAGCCGGGAGCCCAGGAGTACGGCCCCAATGCCTGTGGGAAGATGTTACAATCTAGCGAGAATCTCCACGAACCCTGGAGACTCCACAAACTCTGCTCTCAACCAGGCTCACCGACCCCTGTTGCCTCCGCAGCCTGGAGAGGGTGAGAGAATGTCTCACCTGCCCAGAAGGTCGTTCCTCCCTTACTCTTCCCAAGATCAATCACTAAACACTAGAGGAGACATTCGATCCCCAAACCCTAGGCCCTACCTTCCAGGCCGAACTTGTAGAATTCTCCAGCCACATCTCGGACGAGGTTTGATGATCCTCCTAGACTGCCCCTCTGTCTCCGTAACCGTCGCACCAGGTCGCTAACAACACTGTCCAGAGTCTTCGCGTAGTCAGCGGAGGCTCCGGGCCGGAGTAGAAGCGGGGCCAGGAGGCTGCGGAGCTTCTGCCATTCTTCTCCTTCCCTGAGGAGGTTCGGAAAGGGTGGTGTAAGGAAGGTGGAGAAGGCGTACATAGGGTCTCTACCCAACGGCAGAGAAGGAACTAGAGTATTACAGAGTCTGATGGGGAGAGGTGAGCCAGGGGGTTGTCTCCTTCACTCTTTTGCGCCCTCAGGGTGCAGAGACATTCTCTTCCAGGCTCTTTCCCTCCTTCCTCGTCTGGTCCCTAGTTACTCATTTCCTGCCTTCCAGCGACCCCATTTCCCGAGATCCCTGAGTCAGAGCGTCTCCAGTCGGTTCAGTCCCTCCTCTCCACTCCTCTCGCAAGCCCCTTGGGGCCGAATCAGGTACTGGGGAGGAGAGCGCATCCTCACTTCCAGCCTCAGCCTAGCGCAGTGAAAGAACATAAAAAACAAGGTCCAAGGTGGAACTGAGGCCGGGGAATTAGAAGGTTAAAGAGTCACGGGAGTTCCTGGAGTTCAGTTGGGTGGGTTGAGGGGTGGAGGAGGGATAAGAAGGCAGAAATATGGACGTGTAGAGAACAGGATAAGCCAGCAATGAAGAAAGATTGCAGAATTGGGACACTTGGAAATCCTTTGGAAGTAGGGAGATTTGAGGTGAGGCTAGGTAGTCAAGGGTGAAGGGATGGAGAGAAGCTCTGGATGAGGGTGCCCCAAAGCATTAAGGGGTTGAGGGGGGAGACTTACGCTGTGAGCAGTCCACAGGCCCGGTGGCAGCGTCGCCGGTGCTCCACCCAAGGGGAGAAGCTGCAGCGCTCGGGATAGGGACCCTCCTGTCGAAGCAGCTGCTCGATCAGGGCAGGAGCTGCCAAATATACCGTTTGCACTGGCCCGAAGCTGGCAAACCACACAGGACCGAAGCGGGCAGAATCTTGCACCTGGCGCAAGGTGAGAACCTTGAGATCCCGCTCCCCCTTGTTCTGAAATCTCGGCTGCCATGGTAAAGACTTGAGGGAGTCTGTATCATCTGAGACCCCTACATCCCCTTCTCCATCAGCCACCGCACTTTTTTCAAGAGCTACAAATTCGTGTCCCATTTCCCAGCCCCTGGAAATGCAAGAGTGAAGGGGCCGGGCGCGGGCGTTAACTTTCCAAGCTAACTTCCCTTCAATCTAAGACTAGTTCGACAATTTTTATTCTGGTTTTGAAAGTCCACTAGGGTGGCAGCTGGGACTGAGGACACCTTTAGGATATTTACAAGGCAGCTGCAGTCTCCTCGCAGATTAAATTTAGTGCCAGCCACCACAATGCTCCTAAACGTACTTGTCAGTTCAGGAGGTCTCCCATTTTCCAGACCTGGGAACCTGCATCCAGTCGCTGGTCAGTATGTTACATAAACATACATACATACATACATACATATATATGTATGTACGACTGTGTGTCTACACATACACACACACACACTCTCTCTCTCTAAAGTTGGGTGCTGATTTTGGAAATCCTGTACTTGGTTAACTTTGCTGATTCAAGTCTTTATCTAGTTAGCTTTGATGTTTCCATCGGTCCCCCAAAGTTCTGAATCAATCTACACTCTTCCTAACATCAAATAAATGTTTCCCCATCCACCTGCCTCCTCAATTGAATCCCAAATACCCTTTCTTTCAGCCACCCTGCACCTGCCCGGGCAGACGTGGGGGTACCCCATACCTGCAACTCATGCAGACGCGACAGCCCCGCTTTGCAAAAAAGTTCTGCTAGGAAGCTGAGGGTAGAAGGGCCAGGAAGGTCTGTCAAGATCGATGGGGTTCTCTTCCTGCCCTTCAAGCCCAGCTTTACACCCAGTTCTGGAATCAAGCGCGTAAGCTGAGACACCTGTGTTGCCAGCTTGAGGGTCCGGGGCATAGTGAAATGCAGCAAATACTGGGGCGCGTACGCGTGTTCAGAGCATCTTAACTAACCCCTCCAGCCCCTATTTAAATCTGAGCCACCCCCTCCAGCACACTCCAACCAATCTCTTCTCTCTTTAGTTGTCCAGGTTTCATGATTTGCATAGTGAATGCCCTAAGCAGGGAGAGAATTCAACTGATATATCCCAGAAACACTCCTACTCATTCCTGATTTGCCCTACCCCCCTTCCTCAGTTTCTTCTTCAGGTCTGGCACCACCCCAAGTTCCCCAACTAAAAATAAATCACTGTAGGGGAGCTGATGCATCGAAGCCAGCCTCTTGCATTCCCACCCTTCTCAGGAGCCAAGTCACCTCCCCCTCCCCCTCCCTAAGGAATTCCCTCTTTTCTAACAAGTCCAGGGAACAGACACAGCAGCCTCTGCTCTCGTTTTCTTTGCTCCTGGACGGTACATTCTTGCCAAGGAGGTACTTGGTTCCTTTCTCTTATAAGACAACAGTGGGTGAAGGGTGGCTCAGTGTGTGCTGAGAGGAAAGGAGAAAGGTGGGGGCAGTCCAGGCAACATTTTAATAGATATGGGACCAGGTTAGTGGGGTTTGGAGTGATGGTGGTCAATCTCAATAAGTTCATATGGCCAAGGTGGTTTGGGGTCAGTCAGCCCCCTCCAGAAGATCACCATTTGGTCAGCTGCCCAACAGGGTCTTTTCATAGCAGAATTGCACTCTTTACTGATCACGCCTACAAAGAGATACGGCAAGTTCTTTGGCTCATCAGCCAATTATTTCCACATTTATGGTTGCTATATAATCAAAGGTCAACATAGAGGGGACAGTAACCTCTGTCTCAAAATGCCTTCCCCTTATACTTTCCAAAGGTGGTCACTAAGGTAGTCTCAGACCACCAGACAGCCAGAAGTCCACAGATAGTGGGAGCTGCGATGGCGAAGGAGGGAAACCTGGAGCTCGCCTTCTACGTGGACAGCAGCATTAGCAGGCTTAGACAGACAGACACACACACACAGAGTCCTCAGCACAGCAAAATAAACACAAACAAGTAAAGTGATCTGAGCCCAGCAAGAAGTTTAGCTGGCAGTGCAACATGTTTCCTTATTCCAGCTACACAGAGCACATCCTGGCTGAAAGGGGTTCTAAAGAATCAGTCTCCTTTAACTTAGGAACACTTTCTAACTTGTCTTAGGCTTGAGGTATGTATTTTCCATCTGCTTCCTGGTGAAAAATGGCCTGAAGAATAATCAAGGAGTCAAGGAAGCTGCTCAGAACATCTCCGTCCCTTCCCTCCTCACTTCAGCTCCCGGGCCTGGAGCAGAAACAGTGCAGCACAGAGATGCCCACTTCCATTCAGAAGGCAGAAGAGCCTCTGTCATTCTTCCCAGACACAGGGAGAATAGATCTAGATATGGCAGGGCCAGAGGTCAGCGTCCAGCCACAGTGGAGCAGGGGCTGGTCGTTAGGCAACGGAGTCCTGAATTCTCCGGAAGATGGCTGGGAAGTTCTTCCCCCCATTTCGAAGAACCTTCTTCCCTTCTTCAGTTGAAGTACCAAGACGTCCCACAATAGGGTCATCAACCTAGGGGAGTGAAAACTCCAGGTGAATCTTCCCCTACTCCCAGGTCTCTGCCTTCCCACAAACCTTCATCCCATACTCCCAGTATTGTGCTGGCTCGAGACCATCCCACTTATTCCCTTTGTTTTCCCCAGCACCATCTGCCTCCCAACTCACCAGTTCCTCTAGGGGTACTCGCTCAAACAAGGGATGTTCTTCAAAGTGGGTACAGATCCAGCTGTGCAGTTCCATCACATCAGTGATGGTATATACCAGCCCCTGCAGAGACCCCATCCCACTGGTCAGTGTGACTGGATAAAATCGGGTCTTTACCTCATGAACAGTTGGTAGGAAGCCTAAATAAGGTAGTCATAAGACTATGGAAGGAAACCCCAACCCCCTGCCCCAATGTCCAACTCTAAGCAGAGATAAACTAAAAGTGAGGTCCCCAACACAATCTTTCATCCTTTCCTCCCGATCCACACTGACCCCAATTCTCAGGACATAGGCATATTCCGCCAGCAGTGTAGGGCTGATGATTCGCCACTTGTGTTTGGTCCGTTTGAAGTGTGGGTCAGGAAAGAGGAAGAACATCTTTGTCAACTGTGAGGAAGATAGGATGGTGAGACACCAGCTTTCACCACGAAGTCTGGGAAAACCCAGCGTCTCCAGTGCCCCATCTCACCTGCCCTTTGTGGAAAAAGTTGGGTAAATGCTTCATGGCATTGCTACGAAGACAGGCGATGTTCTGGAAGCCACCCCCAGAAGTAGATCGAAGGGCTCGGATCCTATCTTGAACATAATCTGAGACCTTTACCCGGATCTCGAGGCCAAGGATCAGCGTGTTTGGGAACATCGGGGATAGTTCCACTGGGTGAAAATGAAAGGTGCAGAATCATCACATACTAAAGCTAAATGGGTAGGAAAGCCCCAATCCAAGGGGGAGATTGTTACCCAGACTAGGAATAGAAAATGGGCCAAGGGAAATGTTTTGAATGAATGGGGTATTATCATTGGAGCCCCCGTGGGAATAAGAAGCTACAAAGATGGATAGAGCAGGAAGCAGCTGAAGGCAAAAAGGGGAGATGATCAGAGATCAGGAACAGTATGGGTAGTTACTGTGTGTATGTGTGTAATATCAATACTGAGAGAAAATAAAGAGGAGAGGACAGGACAACACTACTGATGGTGGGACAAGAAGAGTCATGGAAGGAGGGAAGAATTCCTGGGAGGCCTGAGAGAGATGGTTAAGGATCACTGGACACAGTGGCTGATCTCTGACGCTCGTGTTGACCGACTCACTGACCCGATACCTGGCAGATTAAGATGCCTCATGTAGGGACTGTGGTCAGGGGGAGGGGCCAGACAGGTCATCCCTGGCTTAGAGAGGCATCTGAGGCAGCACCTTCCCTGTTCCTGGCCAAAGGCCACAGGCTCTGAGTGGGGGGTAGACATTAATGTCATAGAGTCAACATCTGGGTCCGAAGGGGAAAGGCCAAAACTACAGCCCCCACCAAAGTTGCTGCACAGGCAGAAGAGCCTGGGCCCTCTTAGTCTCACCTCCCTTTTCCCCCTGCCCAAGGAGACAGGGCCACTGCAAAGCGTTACCTAACAAACCACCATAGCCACAGCCTATGTCTGCAAATTCCACTTGGGCCTGAGCTCCCTCTTCTTTCTCATCCTTTGAGTCATCATGGTTCTGGTTGTGGGTCAGTGGGGCAAAGAACTTGGGGTAGAGCTCAGACCAGTCCATCTCCTCTGGCTTCACAGGGCTGTGGAGGGAGGGTGGTGTGAGTAGGGGAGTAAAAAAATTGCAGAAATGGTACCGTGGGTGGGATGAAAGGAAGTTTTCCCATAAACAATGGGCCCTCTGGCCTCAAGGAGATACAATGGAAAACACCCTTAACCCCCAGTGTGAATCACAGGCTCATTTTGAAGAAATGTACCACCCCCACTAGGGTCTGACCTGTTGACCCATCCATCCTAATTTCTAACATTTGGTGTGACCACTGGTTGGTCTGGTTTCCTTCTTGTAGCAAAAAGTAGAAATCTTTTTTCTTTTTTGGGGGGGGGGAGGAGTGGGGTGTGTTTTAGGGAGGGATCTGACACAATGAACTGGAGTCTTAGTACAGTTATTATTTATCTGAGGTAAAATTGTTCTTAATGAGTTTATTAGGTGGAGGCAAAAGGATCAAAGTTCACTCTAACCTATCAAGTTCTTCTGCCTCTATTTACCTCCTTATTCAAACCTTTACCACAGACAACCCCTTCTCCCCCTGCAAGGCAACAAAGCTTCTACAACCTGTCTAATGGACCAATCATCCAGCTTATTCACTTACCTCTGCCAATTTATTGTCTCCTCTCTCCCATCACCAGATCCACCCACAAGTCCTCTTCCTTCTCACTCCTTCAGCCTACATGTCAAATCCTTTTCCTCTTCCATTTCCTCTTAACTGAATTTGAACTGCTCCACTCTAGTCTCTATCTCCAACTCATCTCTGTCCTTCCTTCTCTTAAACTAAACCATAAAGTACTATATAAATAATAGCTGGGGGTTTTTTTTAAATTGTTGTCAGCCTTAATTTGCAAAGCACTTTTCAGTTCACAGAGATAGGAGGCATAAATATTATCACTCCCTTTTTTTTTTGACAAAATGAGGGAAACATCCTATTCTGAAGCACTATAGTGTGTGGGGAGGTGATTCAACATTCTCAAAGGTGGAGGACAAACACTGGTGGATTTTTACCAAGCTGAAAAGGCTTTGAGTTGGGAGTCACTGACAGGCTGTGTTTTCTGGCAGAGGACCAGTTTAGCTAAGTAAGAAAAGATCCATTATCAGAAGGGTGCCCACTAGGTAATGATTTTATTGACCACAGCAACCTAGGAAAAGGAAAGATTGGAGGGGCTGCTTAAATTGATATAAGAGAAAATTGACTTGTGACTCTAAGGTCACACTCATGGAATCCTGGATTTCTGAGTCTTACAACAACCCCATAATGGGAGAAGGGGAGGTCCAGCCTCAGCCCCACCCCTGCTTCTCAGGCCAAGTTTACAGCAGTCCAGCCCGAGCCCTCCCTCGTTGCTGAGGTCAGGTGCACTGCGCCCCGTTGTGGCTATGGGGGCTGGGCGAATGCTGCTGAGGTCAAGTTCCCTGCACCCTGCTGTTGCTATGGGGGAAGGGGAGGTCCAGCCCTGGCCCCCCAATGCTGCTGAGGCCAAATTCCCGGCACCCCACTGAGGAAGTACAGCCCCGGCCTCCCGTGCTGCCGAGGTCCCACTCTTCTGACACCCCAACGGCAGCGGGGCCCCAGCAGCTCTGCGATCGCTCACTCCCCGCCTCCCCGTCTGTCCGTCCGTCCCCCCAGATCCCTCGCGACCGCCCCGCTCGGGGGTCACCCGGGGCCGGAGCAGATTTCTCCAGGACTAGGGAGCCAGTTTCCCCGGGAGGGCCTAACTCACTAACGCAGCGTGTGGTCGGCCATAGGGTTAGAGTGAGCTCGTTGTCGGTAGAAGCGCTTCTGGGGCGCTGCGGCCGGGGTTTCCTCGCCGAGCTCCGCGCCCTCCATAGCTCCGGGGTCCCAGGGCTTCCGCGACTCTCACGTGGAGACACCCGCCCGCCGGCCCCCGGCGCACGGTGATGAAGTAAACATCACGTCACGGAGGTGGGCCGCCAGGCCCCGCCCCCTTAAAGGGACCGGGCCCAAATCCCGACGTCGTTTGGGACTGCGGGCAAGGGAGCGTGCCAATGGGTAAGCATCCGTCTTGGAACTTTAAAATCAACAGAACTGGAGCTAGAAGGGAACCAGAACTAGGACTTTTCACATAACCCACCCCATTTTAAAATTTTATTTTATAAGACTTTTTTTCTGAACAAAAATGTATTTTCATTACTTCTCACCTCACCCCCATTAGAAAAAAAGTAGATTAAAAAAAAATCCCTGAAACAGGTGAAATTTCCGCATCGACCATATAAGAAACTAAACTTTTTTTTTTCATTTTGCACACGTGGAAATTGAGACGTAAGTTGGGGTAAGTCCCACTGATGGGGATTTGAACCCAGATCGTCGGACTCCAAATTCCACTGCAAGAGCTCTTTCTCGCCGTATCTTACCAGCTTTTTAATGTCTTATTTGCTACAGTAAAATTTAGAATTTAGGATTTTTTTTAAAACAGATAGAAATGACTTTAGGTCAGGGTTCTTACCTTGTAGTCTGTGAATTTAAAAAAAAAAATTTCTGGGGCAGCTAGGTGTCACAGTGGATAGAGCACCAGCTCTGGAGTCGAAGGACTTGAGTTTAAATTCGGCCTCAGATACTTGACACTTAACAACCATGTGACCCTGCGCAAGTCACTTAACCCAGGTTGCCTTGCAAAAACAAAGTTTAAAAAATTTCTGATAATTATATTTTAAAATGATTATTTCCTTTTAATCCTATGTATTTTATGCACTTTAAAACATGATTCTGAAAAGGAAGAGGTCTATAGGCTTCACCAGACTGCCGAAGGGGTCCAGGACACCCCCAAAATTAAGGACCCTTGCATCTAGTCCAATTTTCCCATTTTACAGTTGGGAAAACTGAGGTCCAGAAAGGTTCAGTGACTTGCCCGAAGTCACAGAGCCAGTAAGATGCCAGGGTCGGGAATTGTATGAGACCCCTGAGTGTTCTTTTTACTGTCACAACCACAACTCCACTGTCTGGAGAGGACTAGGACACCTCCCCCGCCCTGCCACGTAGCATAGCATTAACCATTCCCGGGTCTCAGGTGTCTGGGCCAGTCGCAGATGGTAGTCTAGAGTTCGAGGAAGTAGGGTAGGAGGAGCTTGGGCTGGCGGCCAGACCTCTTCTACTTCGTTCCGCCTCCCGAGAGTACAGGAACCTAGTAGGCTGGGGGTGCCAGGGGTCTGACCTCCCCTTCCTCCTAGTAGGAGGCAGCAGGGTCTCACTCCTGCCTGGCCACGTGGAAGCCACCCCTTCTTTTAGAGCTTGGCCGGCGTCCAGAGGAGTCCCTCTGGGCTGGTGCTTGACTCCCCGAGGCATTTTGTCCGGGATGTCGGAGTCAGACTCCGAACTGGAGTTGGAGACCGTGTTCCCTCAGGAGGACGGGCTCTTCGCTGATTCTTACACAGAAGAGACTCAGTTCCACTTTTGCGGTCATGTGCTGAGCATCAGACAGAGCTTCGGGGCTCGGCTTGGGGTGGCTGCGCCTGTGTGGGAAGCGGTGAGGACTCCCGGGGTGTACTGGGTGGTCAGCAGAGGGAGAGGAGAGTAGGGGAGGGAAGCAACGGGTCTGCGGTGTTTTTATTTCTCTACCCCACTCTGGATCTTCTAGTTCGGGCAGAGGAAGGGTTTCCTCTGTAATTAGGCAACGACCTGCTTTCTCTTCCCAAAATCTCTCTTCCTCCCTCCCCCTCCCCCCTATAGGCGCTGAGCCTATGCAGTTACTTCGAGAGGAAAAATCTCGACTTCCGAGGCAAGAAGGTGATTGAGCTGGGCGCTGGGACTGGTATCGTGGGCATTCTGGCAGCTTTGCAAGGTAGGTGAGCTGGAATCATAGATCTCACAATTTGAAAGGATCTGAGTTAATTTATCCAGCTCTGTATTGTGAGCCACTCTATCCTGTCTCCTCCCCCCCCAAGGATGAAGGAGTCCAATCAGTGATTCCATCAGTTTAGGGACTTCCCATTGTGGGAGGTCCCTTCACTAATGCAGCTTGTAAGCTGGTCTTTAATTTATAGTTTTAGAGAGCTATCTGAAACACTGAAAGGTTAAGTGATTTACCTGTGGTTACACAACTGTTTCAGTCCGACTGACTCAAAAGGCCAGTCCACCAACCAATACTAGTTATTTCAAGTCATTAAGTATTTATTAGGTGCCGACTATGTGCCAGGCACTGTGCTAAGCTCTAGGGATACAAAGAAAGGGGGGGGGGGAACCCCAGCCTTTCTGCCTTTCTATACCGTCCTGAAAATGTTATATAATATGACATAAGGCATGTTTTCCTGGGGACTCCTCGTGGTTCGCAATGTCAAAAGCTTCTGAAAGAGGCTAAGTAGAATGTGGACTGAAAAAAGGTAAACGAATTTAGAATTTAAGCAATCACTTGTAATCTTGGAGAGAGAAGTTTAAATTAAGTAGCAGAGTGGGAAGCCTCATTACTGAGGATTGAGAAGTAAGTGGGAGGTGAAAAAATGGAATCCCATGATGTATTAGAGTTTGGCTCCAGAAGGGAGAAAAAAAAAAGGTAAAGGTTATTGGCTTGAGGGGATGGCAGGCTCAAATGAAGATTTGTTGTTCCTTTTTTTTATTATTATTATTTTAGGATAAGGGAGACCTTTCAGGGAAGGAGCCTATGTAGATAAGGGGATATTGAAGGGGGAAGAAAGGCTAGAGCAGGGAAGTACCTAGAGTAAACAGGAGAGAATAAGATCAAGAATGTAAGTAGAGGGGCTGCCCTGGCAAGAAGGGCCTCTTTTTTTTTTTTAAAGCAATTGGGGTTAAACGACTTGCCCGGGGTCACACAGCTAGGAAGTATCAAGTGTTTGGTCTGAGGCTGGATTTGAACTAAGGTCCTCCAGACTTCAGGGCAGGTGCTCTATCCACTGCGGCACCTAGCTGCCCCATGAAGGGCCTCTTCTTTGTTAGTAACTGATGCAAAGGAAGAGAGGATGGGAGATGATGAGAGATTTTGAGGTTTAGAGTAGGGGAGGAGAAGGAATTTATAATATACAGGCTCTGGGTTTGTTTTTTTTTTCTTTTTCTTCAGTGTATCTAGGTTTAGGAGAACAACTTCCCTGTGTAACAAAGTTACATAGTCACCAACTTTGTAATTTTATGATTTGTAACTTTGTAAATTTGTGATTTGTAAATCACCTCTCAGCCTGCTACTCAGCTTGTCCCCACTTTTAATCTTTTCATTCCGATCTCTCTGTCTGCCTGTCTGTCTGTCTCATAGAACACAGCTTTATTAGTAAATTATCCAACAAGTAGATAAGTCTCAGACTGACTCTCTATTTCTGTTTTTCCATGCACATTTTATTTTTTCCACTTTTTTTTGCCATTTTTTTTTCAAGGGATTAGCTTTTTCTCCAGCAAATGTATTTTGAGAATGTTATCCTGTGTCTTTAAGAGGAAATTAAGTTTGTGCTTAAATTTAGTGGAATTCTCCAAAACTTTGCCTGGAATATGTGGTGGTTTAACCTTTTTATTATTAACATAAAGTTTGATCATAGTTTTCTTCCCATGAGTTCAGAGTTGTTTAATTTCAAAGCATATTGTACAGGATCAGTATTCTCAAAGAACACATAGCCTTTGCCAACTCCAGTGACTTTGTTTCTCACAATTTTTACTGCTAAAACAATTCCAGTCGGAGAAGTGCTCTTGAATAGCAGCTTCTTCAATTTTGTAAGGGAGGTTTCCCATAAATACTGACCTGTTGCCTCTCAAAGGAGTGTCAGATATAAATTCAACTCTGATGGGAAATCCCTCTACAATCTGAGCACCATTTCTTTTCAGTGCCTTTTCAGCAGCACTTTCTTCCTTAAAAATAACATAACCATTAATACTCTTCCGTTCAGGGTGAACTGCACATTTTATTGCAGCAATTTTTTTGGATAAAGTACTTTTTTTCTGGAATCAAAGAACAGAATTGTACACATTCTGTTTGTCAATACTCTTTAAAAAATTACTTCAGTTCATTTTTTTTTTTTTTACAGATGACAGGTAAATTTCCCACAAATACAGTTGTTTTATTTTTTATTCTTTCCTCTGTCTCATTGACACGAATCTTTTTTTTATTTGCCTCAAATGAATAGTTTGAATTATCAAGTATTTTACCATCTGCTGTTTTGCCGTTATTATTGGCTTGAGAAATTTTCCTTTTCTTCATTTGTTTAACTTGCATTTTTTCTCCTTCTTCCTCTTCAAGATCAGCAGATACCAAGGCACTTTCTCTGTTTGCCAACCTTTTATCTGCATCAGAGAGCTCCCTCACTATAATTGTTAAATAGAAGCAAAAGTTCTTTGACTGTGGAATGCAATTTCATCTTTATTATGTTTTCTCTTCTTACTGTTAGCCTGTAAAAGGAACTGGATCTCTAGCAGCCACATAGATGGGTTACTGTACCTGTATAGATGAGGAGCTAAACAGAGACACCAGGTGGCTCTTGCCACCCTTTTTTTTTTTTTTTGGTGAAGTGATTGGGGTGAAATGATTTGCCCAGGGTCACACAGCTAGTAAGTGTTAAGTGTCTGAGGCTGGA